TTCTTGGCTCTCAACAGACAGAAATCTCCTCCTTGTGCCCTTGAATCTTTACCGGTGAGAGTATTCTCTCCTTTTGATTTTATATGGTATTTTATATTCCCATCTTGGCCAGTTCTGCACATCATTAATTTACATTTTCCTCTTTATTGCTTTTTTGGGAGAATTATGGTGAAACTGCTATTGGTGCTGGCTGTAAGAAGATGCATCAATTTCATACCATGATGAAAGGCAACTGTGTAGTTTCCATTTTAGTTTGCGTTTGCTGCTGCTTGGGGTTTTTTTTTTTTCTTTTTTGTTTTTGCAGAAATGAGAACTAATGAGTCCCACCATCAGACATTTCCTTGGCCCGGCCTCGGAAGCAGCAAGAAGGTGGCGGCGGTCACTGGAGCTGTGCAAGGCTGCAAGCTCGGCACGGATCCGTGAAATTTTTTTTATTTCCTGCTCTGGTATCTGTGAGAGCTTCTTTTAGTTTTTGGTTTGGAGCTTTTGCTAGCGGGACTCGGGATTTTTCATGCGATTTGTTAGCAGAAATATTTGTGCTTTCTGTTCGGTCAATGTGAACTTAAAGTTTCACTTGACTTGAAAGATCACATGATAGTAGTACCAATGGGTCTGTTTGGATTGTGAATTATTAGAGATATTTTTACTGTAGTACTTTTTGTGATGTGATGTATGTGAAATAAAAAGGTAATTGGGAAGGTAAAAAGGTGTATTGGAAATTGTAACGATGATGTAAGCAAATAAATTTGGGGAAATAAAACCCAATTCAAACAAATTCAATGCCCACTAACACTACAATCACAGTTGACTTGTCTCTTTTTTTTTTTTTTTTTTTTTTTTTTTTTTTTTGGGTTCCGGCTAATAACCTAAATAAGTATTCAAATTTTAGTGATTTATCATGTTTAAATTTCTCGATTTTTACAAACTCTCAACTATCCACATGCAGTGATTTTTGGGCATTGATGGTAATTTTATCTTCGCAAAGCTTTTCTTGAAAACCAAAAGAATGATGCGCCCTTGTGAAAGATGTGAACCTTTTGACGGGCTGGAAGGAGAAGGGAGTAACATTACATACGTACATGGTGGGAAGAGGGTTTTGAAACCTGGGGCGGGAACAATCCGCCTAGATTCCTACGACTACCATAGGCTTGAAGGGAAGAAGGAACGAATATGAACCTACTATGGGACAAGAAAGCTGCCACTGTCTTACTAGTTCATGAGAGCATATATAAACGCAGCAGAATTAATTTCACAATCCCGGATATGTGGTTCAGTTTCACTCGTACAACATGCCAATGTTGACCACAAGTAAAATAAAATGTTATTTGTATTTTTGTCATTTATTATATCATATAATTTAATAAATAAAAAAAATTTTATGTAACGGTACATTTAGTGTAACTGACTCTTATTGTTCTTATTCCTAAGAGGAGAGAGTTTACTGTATGAGGTGATTCAACGAGAATTTAATGAGAATTAAACTATCATTAGATTAGATGGATGTATTATGTATCATCAGAATTATTCGGTGGTTAAGGAACAACTTTTCTAGGCTGGATTAAAGTTGTTGCAAAGTTTTAAATAGAAGTAATTGATGGATTAATACATTACACCTTTTCAATTAGGCTAAAGCAAAGGTCAACAAGGGCCACAAGAAGCCTATATATCAGCGGCCAAATTCCACGCTTTCCCAAACTCTAATGTGCAAACGGGAAGCTGCGGTGTCTCTGGCTCTTGATTTTTTTTTTTTTGTTTTTTAATTACTTCTGCAATTATGACATTAACATTTAACGCTATGGTTATAACAACTAAGGTTCTATTTGAAATCTTGATTTTTTATGAAGTTTGTATAAAATTAGTTTTTTTAACAATTTTTACTATAGAAATTTTAAAAAATTTATTACAATTTTTAACCTACACACTTAAAAAATATACAAAATTTTCCTTTATAATTTTTATTTTTTTTCCTCCTCCACCCAATCCACCACATCCTTCATCATCGGCCACCACCGCTACCGGCGCCAGTCACTATTCTGACAATTAGTTCCGGCCTTCCTCTTTTTTTTTCCTGTTTTCCTCATCCCCTCTGCTCCTCTCCCCTCTCCCTTTGATCGATCCACAGTAAATTTTATAAAAATATTCAAAAAATTTCACCTTTCAAACAGACCCCAAATTTGACTGCTCAATTGGTGAGAAATACACATGGTGCCTATGTGATGAACCCAGGCTAATACAAAAGGTCAATTACCATGGTATGCATGTATATAATCTATTAACCTTGATGCCCTTTATTGTTTTTTTGTCAAAATTGATGCCCTGTTCGAGCCAGCTGTTTTGGGAACTTTTCTTGAGAACGCCAAAATTTCCTACTTTTTGATACTTTAACAAAAGGGCGTGGCACTGCATTTATGCATCTGTAGGCATATGCAGACACTCTGTCTACTCAAACCAAACAAGGCCCAAGGGAATTACTGCCAAGCTGATAACATTTTTGTAGAATTTTTATTTTTATTTTTTTGTAGAAAATCATAATCCAAACGTAGAATGTCAAAATGTTAGCAACCTTTACAAAATGAAAATGCTGCTATTTCTATAGTTCCTAGTATCAGATGGGTCTCGTCTTTTACACACTTGGGATTCTCGATGACATGTTTTTCTATACTAATTCAATGCCATCTATAGTATTGCGCCAAGTGTCCCGTTATTATTTATACTTTAATTTTCTAATAATTCAACTTGATTTGGTTTAACATAAGTGTAAATAATAACAGGACACTTGGCACAATATTATAGGTGACATTGGATTGACATAAAAAACATGTCACCGAGGATCCAAGTGTCTTTTACAGATTAGAGTCCTATAATTTACTTAGTCCAGTGCAATGTATTTAAATTAGCTCGAAATGCTTTTTGTGTAAAGCTGACAGCAATTAATTGGCATAGCCTGCAAGAAAGAAAAAGGCAACGACCCGACAAATGGCACTCCAATGTTAGGAAAGACTAGGAGGTATAAAACGCGCGATGCGCGTAGATACCTAAAGACAATATGCCCTGCCAAATGTAAGGATTAAGGAAGTGATTAAATTTTGGTGCATTCTTCTTTTATCCAGCATGGCACGCAAATTTTTTTTTTTTGTATATCAGTATGAATATGCATGGCAGGCCTTTTTTCTGTATTGAATAGTAATGTTGTAATCGCTTTTATACATTGAAAAAATCAACTAAAGATAAACACGACATCTGAAAAGGCAAAAGCAAGATAAGAGGTTACTACCACATTGACATTTGACCAAAAAAAAAAGGTAGGCTACCATACCACCAGGGAGTGCGTGGCCAAATGAGGAAGAAGTCATCAATCACCAAGACAACACCTCAAATCATTTCATCTCTCGCATATAATCTAACAATTAGCAAGAAATGGCACTGAGTCCTCGGCATAATTTACACACTATAAATAAAATCCCAGTAGCAAACAATTTAAAATCTTCTATTGTTGCAAACTATACTGCCTATTCCTATTACACAGATGTGAAGATCTCCTTGTGCTCTGATCCAGATGCTGCTCCTCTTCTGGATTCATGGCAGTATTTTAAAGTGAAAAAACCATGAGATTATAAAGGCAAAAACCATGCACCCAAGAAGAAAATTCATGACACCACGATCATGGCAGTAACTTCGGGTGTCGGAGAAGACCATAGGTGCTGTTGAAGCTGCAGTAGCTATACCAGTGCCATTGTTCACCTCAATTGCTTGTTCTCCAGCAATGTTCATCGCAGGGGCACCACAAATTTCACAAGTTCTGGATAAAACATTTACACAAGATACAGGCAGTCAGTCCAGATGATACACCAGAAGCAACTGATATAAGCTTTTTCTAAATGGTCAAAAATCTGCTTTTATACGTTGTGGTCTCCATATATTTAGAATAGTGGTGATTGGTGTTTTGAATGGTGAATGGAGAGTTTGGTGTTTTGAATAGTGGTGATTGGTATTGTATCATGTTAAACAGAAGATGGCAAAGCTAATTTGTAAAACTTTCATCCTTTACGGATTCGTCAATCCCACAAGTCCGAATACATCATTTGATATTGGTATCAGCTATATCTGTAAAAAGAGAAAAACAACAAGAAGATACTGCCACATTCTTCTGTATATTGATGTCAAGATCATCATGTTGCAGCCAACAACCTCAAACACTTTTTCTAAGTTCTTAATTACAATTTTGCAGCTCAAAAGATGCCAATGTTAATAAGAAGCTATTAATTTCATCCAATTAATGTGTTCCTTTTTATAGACAAAGTGATGCCAGAATTTACCTCCAAGATTGATCAGGAACATTTTGAAGTAGATATCCAGCATTAGCCTTCTCATTTGATGCACCAAGCAACCGTAGTTCTTGAATCTCCTTCTCCCACTTATCCATATGTTCCTTGTAGATTATGTAGACATATATGCTTCAAAAAATAAAAAGTTGCTACAACCTGATCTTGAAACCCTAATAACTATTTTTTTAATGACTCAGAGAATTAATTTTTCTTCAAATTCATGATTAAGATCCTTCAGTATCAACTTCTCTGATTCCAGCAGCTTAGACACCTTCATCAAGCAAAAATGAAACCCAGCACAAAATTTATATTCAAACTGACAGAAACCAGGCATAGCATAATTACTTGCAATAAAGAAAGGTAATCTTTCAAACTTTTACTTCTAGAATTACATCATGCCTAAGCGAATAGGACTGTTTATATATTTTTTAGTTCTTTCGAAAATTTGGACTCTTCAACATAAAAGTTAGTTTAAGTATAAAAAACCCAATTAACTTTCTAACAAAACTTACACAGTCATCATGCCTTCCTTAAGAAAGTTTATGCAGTTTGTAAATTTCAGTAAACATGTAAATTCAACATAAAAATGGAATGGACTTCTTGATAAACATGCAATAACTAAACCGCAAATAATTGACAAGATAATAAACAAGAATGCCTGAAATGATACCATGAAGATGATCTTCCAATGATCCCAAGGGCATGAACTAATAGACAAGTAGCCTCTGGTCCCTATTAGCACAATAACCAATTAAATTTACAAGGTTAGAGTGATATAAAAGACTAAACATAAGAATCTCAAACAAAATTTTCCGATTACCCTAAAGCCCATTTCTATCCAATTGCTTAACTGCAACAACCTGTCCATTCCAGTAATCCAATTAATTAGCAATAATAAACTTGAAAAGCAGCCAGAAAAATTTCGATAGAGGATCGAACCTTTTCAAGTTTAGTGGATCGAACCTTCCTCCCCCAACTCCTCTCTCTCTCACCAACTGACTTCACCACAGATTTCATTACAGCTTTTCCTGCCATGGAAGTAAACCCCGACACAGAACAATTATCAAACACTTGCTAGACAGATATGAAATAGTGATAAGAGAAAACGAAGCTTTTATAGCTAAAAAATGGAGGCTCTTTTTGAATAGTGGTGTTTGATGAAGAGCCTCAGAAAGACCCTCAAAAATAAGAGCGAAGGGACAAATATAGCTATATTCAAACATGGAGGCTCTTTCAAACATGAAGGAAAATAAAAAAAAAGAAAGAAAATAACAAAATAATGAAGGCAGTACTTTAAGGACATAAGATGCTTCACTGTTAGCAGCTCTTCCTCAAACGAAAAATAAGAGTCCGGAAATCGAAAGGACCACAGATCTATACTAATAAAATGCAGAATTAATTGAAGGTTACTGTTAGTTTCCTCTTCTTTCTTGTTTATGGAACCCCAGAAGGTAAAAAACAGCTGGGAAAATAACACAAAAAAAAAACAAACAATTACAATAAGAATTAAAAAAAAAACAGTAAGAAACGCCTCCTCTTTTTTCTTGTTTATGGAACCCCAGAAGGTAAAAAACAGCTGGGAAAATAACACAAAAAAAAAAACAAAAACCATAAAAGAGAACAATGGAGGCAATACCTTAAAAAAGCCGAACAAAAGCAACTGGTGGAAGATACTTCTATGCTACCAATCCGCAAGAATTCCAGCCGCAGCAAAGGTTAAAAAAGAGCAAATGGCGGGAGTACTACCAAACCACAACCATTTCAGCTTAAAATCGATGAAGAAACAATCGGGAAAAATAGCACAAAAAATCCATAAAAAAAGAAAACAATGGAGGCAATACCTTTAGAAGGATGAACAAAAAAAGAAAGCGCCTCGCAGAAGATACCTCTATACCACCAAACCGCAAAAATTCCATCCACAGCAAAACGAAAAGGAAAAAAAAAAAAAAGAGGGAACGACGGAAACCATTTTGGCTTAACGACAGAGGAAACTATATGTTGAAGAGGAAAGAATGGCTCTAGCCGAAAGAAAAAGTCCATTAATTGTCCAGCTCCATCGAGTACAAAAAAACAAAAAAAAAACACATGACTCAGCAGAAATAGTACAATCGCAGCGGAGCAGAGTTGCAGTGGAGTGGAGAGCAGAGGAGGAAAAAAAAAACAAGAGCAGTAAATTTGTACAGCTGTCCGTTGAGTAGAATGACTCAGCAGAACCAGGTCTTAAAATGTGGCACGTGAGTACCACGAGGGCCGACGAAACAAAATGAGCCTCAGGGTCGACGAAAAAGAGCCTCAGACCAAAACCCCCCACTCGCTCTTATTCTATATATGTTGAAAATTGCTCTTCATTCACTCCACAAAGTAAAGATACCTGCCTAGCCCGTGAGAAAGAAAGGTTAAAACTTAAAATCTTGCACTTTTTTTCCGACAAATCGACTCCTACGCCAATAAGCGATGAAGGGTTCCAAGGAAACTTAGAGGAGACTAACCTAAGGAAAAGAGTTGGATTTAAAGATGTCTAGGAAAATTTACGAAGCTCAAAATCACCTCTAAGGAATACCTTCTGAATTAACTACACGTTCGAGGATTCGATCTTGCAACCTGTAGCCCAACAAAAAAATTAATTTAAAGTTTTGTGTTAGGCGACTCATCTACAGGAGTTAGTTACTTGTACTCTTTCACGCTTGACAAATTTCATATAACAAAACAAAGCCCAATCTAAGGAGTATAATACGATGTATATGTACCAGTAATCTTCTTTAGTGTAATCAACAAGAGATACTAGCTCATATGAGGTTGTTAGGCAAGATGCCTGCCCTTTCTCCGGCAGCCATGTTATTTAATTAGTTCATAGAAGGCCGGTGCCATGCAAAATTGCAAAAAAGGTCCCCATGGACGCCACGTGATATACATATACACCCTGGATAATTTTCTACTTCATTTGAGAGTTGAAAGGAGCTGGGCTGAAATGAAGATATATAACACGAAAAAGATGGGGGTACACCCAAAGCCAAAGTTAATAAGAGGTGCGGGTTTAGAAACTCTTGCTTGTCTACAATTTTTTTTTTCGTCACAACGATAATATTTATATAACGCACTCTAGTCTAGTCTAGAAGAAAAGGAGCCAACGAGAAACACCCTCGGAAAAAGCCACTTGAAAAGCGGCAATTACAATTAAGTGTCAAGTATATGGTGGGAGACAAAAGTTGAACCCTTGACCTTCCACCTCCAAAATCTTAGTGGTGACCAACAGCCTCCAAAAGGTTGTTGGTGACTTTTGCTTGTCTACATGGACCACCGCCATCTTCATTGTTCATAGAATTATTTGTATTTCCTAGGCTTTTCAATCCTAATAATAAAAGATCTGTGAGATACACATGTGATCAATGTTTTAAAAACCGGACCGTTAATCGAACCGGTGAGGTGAAAGGGTCGAGGTTCAATCGGTCGGACCGGTTCAACCTCGGTTCAATGAATTTTTTAAAAAATAATTTATATAAATATATATGTGCACAAAATAAAACATGTAATGGATAATTTAATACTTTATATGATGAAAAGTTTACTATTTTTGAATAACTTGGATTTTTAAAAATAAATTTTTTAAATTATAAGTTAAAACAAATAAATTTCATCTCAATTTCAATTATATCTACCAAAAAAATCTTAAATATAATCCAAAAATATCACAATATTTGAAATTATACAAAATTCACGTCTATGAGAATTTAGACATTGTGAATTTAAATTTTAATTTACATTTTGGAATTTAAATTTATAATTTAAAAAAGGAAGTTTGGAGTTCGAAGAAAATCAAGAGAATTGAAAATAGAAATGCAAATTTGATAAGAAACAAAAAATGAGATAAAAGTGAGTGGTTGTGGTATTAAATAATTTGGGTTAAAGAAAAATAATTCTTTTTTAACTTTTTTAAATTTAATGGACAAAAACAAAATTAAAATATGGAAGAAAACATCAATAAATTAAAAATAAAGAGATTTGATTAAAAAATGAGTGGCAAAAGAAAAGATGATAGAGAGAGAGAGAGAGTGTGTGTGTGTGTGTGTGTGTTGAAAATTAAAAAGAAAGAGTCATGAAAGGATAATATTTTGTAAAAAAAATGGAACAAAAGAAATATGAGTGTTTGTTTTATATAAATAAGTTATCAAAAAAAACTAATAAGATGTGATAGTGCAACGGTTACTACATTGGTATTCTATTACAAAGGTCTTGAGTTCGAATCTTGATAACTACATTTTGCAAAAAAAAAAAAAAAGAAAAAAAGAGGAAAACTCAAAAACCGGAAAAAACCGGTTCATGTCCGGTTCAGCGGTTTCGCGGTCCGACCGGTTTTTGACCGGTTTCTTGACAAAGTCAAACCTGGCAGTGAACCGGACCGGAGCCATGGCCGGTTCGCGGTTCAACCGGTCGAACCGGCCGGTCCGGTCCGGTTTTCAAAACACTGCATGTGATACATAAATACATACATATATACATATATATTTATAGGAATACTTTTTCTAATTTAGAGAAAAAAGAAAAAGACTCAAAAGGGATCTCATTCCTTCCTACCATTCTCTCTCCCATGTATAAATATCCCTTTATTCCCTTAGTATTTTCGACCTTATGAACATCCATCAAGTTCAAGAATGAAAGCAAAATGGTTCCTCCTAGACCTCTCTCTCTTCATTATCCTACGAATGTTGTACCCATACTTATGAAATTGTGGGCCATTAGCAATTGAAGCTGCCAACACGATCTTAACTTCCTTTCGACCAAGGGAAGATCAGATCTCGCGGTAGCCTCACGAGCTAAAAGGATCATAGAAATTACCATTACAATTGAGGACAACCTTATTAATGGGCATACCCTGCGCTCCATCTATTCTTCTTTACAACAAAGGTTGGTTAGAACAAAGGAAACGTTGAGAAAAAATAGAAAAATAAGTTTGTTTTTAAGGATTTTCCTCCTTGGTTTAGAAACTAAAGAGCCAGTTTTTGTATTAAAGTAATTTTATGGAAGTGGTCGAGGAAAAAGATAGATGAAAGGTAAAATTGAAATTTATTTTCTATTTAAAATCACAAAAGACATACCCTTAATCAAATAAATAATTTCTATTGTTCTTAGTTTAATATTTAATAATTATACTTTTAGTTGAAAATCACGAAATTTTTTGAGACAATCATAACTGCAATATATCTTGACTGATAATTGTTTTTACTAATACACGTTGACTGGAATGTATAAAGGGCATTTGTGGAATAAAATATTTATTTATCTCTTGGAAGTAACTTTTTGATCATGCCTTTTTAGAGATGAACTGATTTTGTTACCAAATCATAAATCTTAAGGGAGGTTAGTGTAATTTTCCAAACGTTAGGGGTTGATAGTGAAATTGTTAGAAATTTTAGGGGAAGTTTTGAAATTATCCCTTACGTGGAGTCCCATGATAGGTGCATATCGCATCAGATTTTTTTTTTTTGAAAAGTCGCACTTGATTATTGTAATAAATTGGTCTGTCACACACGCGATCCCCCGCTTGGGAATAAAAAAAAAAAGGGAAAAGAAATCCCTAGTTTTTATCTTACTGGACTCCCTTCTGATTAAGTACTACACCCTCTGCGATTGCCTGCCGCCGACTTCTTTCATCACTCTGGATTAATTCAACCGGATTTATACCGAGTCCAGGTTTTTTCCCGTGTAATTTTGCTTTACAGTGTACCTTCCGTTAAAATCCTCTGACTTTTTCGGATTATAATTTTCCGGTAATTTCGTCATTGTTTTGAATTATTTTTAACCAGTAGATAAGTTCAATTCGAAACTGACAGGTATAAACCTGAGAAAAGGATTTTATTTTGGTCGGATGTAGCGTTTGAGAAGAATTACGGTTTAGGGTTTTGCAGATCTCCTCACACCTTAACTTAGCGGTGTTGTAGTCATCGTTTTAGGCAAGAGCTGTTCTTTGGAATGGTAA